ACAACGGTTGTAATATGGCATTGGCTTAATATGTATGTATTCCAAAAAATGTAGACGTGTCTGTTGTTTTGGTCGATACGTATTGGCTTCCACGTAGATATTTTTCAATACTATAGGAATAATCGACGGCATTCTGAATAAAAAATGTTACTTGTATTATGTTTCTATTACTTAGGACTGTCTCAGTGGCACCTAGGGAGCAAGTCACTAAATACTCTTCTTATGTGGCAGCGCTTTCTGACGACAATTATCGCACTTTTCATATTCTGCAGACAGTCAGGGTCAAGTATATTAGAGCAAAATGTACACTAAGACGAAGAGACCAGAGTTGTGGAGGGTAACAGAGATTGTGTAGAAGGCGAGCTTGACACCTCTGCAGTCGAGAGCAGATAAAATGCTGAGAAGGAAAGCACAAGGTGACAACTAGTAGGTCTGCCCAACAGTGCATCCACCCATGTCCTCATCATAATCCTTGGTGATGCAAAAGACGTGGCCCGCCTGGGGCGGATAGCATCCCAAGTTGGGATCACACTTTCTCGGCTCGTCTACCATGTTGTTGTCTCGACCAGCTTGGAGATAGCACCACGCGTCTCCTGGCTGGATGTGTGTGTCCACGACGGTTCCATCCCTTCCGCCGTCCTTTGGCTCACATTTTCCAGCACATTTCTTGTTCCAACATGTGTAGTCTCCTGGCGCTGGAAGTTGATAAATAGTTAGCATTGTATGTATTTTCGATGAAGTTCACTGACCCATTACTGCAAAGGCACTGCTAGCCAGAACGAGAGCTCCAATGCCGAGGCTAAGCTTCATCTTGAGAGTGTGGTTTCGTCACAAGGAAGATTTAGGGAAACGGTGAATCCTTTGAGGGATGGGAATAGGATTGTTTAAAAGATGGTAGAAGTAAGAGGGTGAAATAGCTATCTTATATAGTATAAGAAAGTTGCAAACGTATTCCTTCGCAAATGCAAACAAGTGGATCTCGTTACATTCACCTTCGCTGGTAACTGTGGCCTAAATCAAAGGATTGATCAACATCAATTTCAAATAGTTATTACATCTATATAGTAACCAATTTGGCGATCATCCTAAAGGGAACCAACAGAAAGGCGAATTTCTCAAACAACACCAGACTTCGGATCTTATATACTGGGAATGGTATAGGGTATTCTGGCCGGAGTTACCCCAGACTAGAGAAACTTTTATATACGGATTGTAGACAATGGTACCTCAATAGTATCCAAGGATATAAAGATAGCTAGGCCCATCCGCCTAACCTTCCAAAAATTAGTTAGTATATTGCTTGATTGCTAGTACAGTTAGCTTGGGGGGGCCGGTTAGCTTGGGGCCAGTTAGTTGGGGGCCAGTTGGGGGCCAGTTGATCGTGAGGTTGATCTCCTTCCACGTAGATATTTCATCTTCCGAGTTGACCGTAGGAGGTATCCCGATTAGGCAGGTTGTCGTGATAGTCCCCAAAAGCCATCGGAGATATCCGAACTTTCTATTGGAACAAGCAAATGATTCAATTTTTGGAAAAAAAAAACCTATAGCTTATACTGAGTGAGAGACAAAGAATAGTATTCTATACTATCTATGCTAGGTG